TGGAAAATATTACCGGCTCGGCCGTCGCCCGGGTTACCAAGGGCCACGCAGGCTGTTGAAGAACTAAGGCAGGTTGTGAACAGTCGGCGAACAGAACCTGCTCCTCATCGCCTTCTGGAAGTCGGAGAGAGGGGAGGGGGAATAAAACATCTATTCTGACCATATGGATCTTCATTGCTCACTCTTGAAACGCGAGAATTTCAGCATCTACTTTACTTCAAAGCTACCACTAACCAGAACATGGAAACCTATTAAAGACCTATTGCACCTGTTAAAGACTCCCATACCAACACAGCTGAAGGGTGGATAGCAGACAATGAGCATTACAGCCGATACCGTACCACTGCCAGGTCAGCTGATAACAATCATACTAGATCGCTGCTGAAGTGGTATAACAAGGTATTAGTCTGAACTTTAGGAGGAGGCGTTCGCTTCAGCAATATGCCAGTCTCCTCTGCTGCGTTACAGCGAACTGGACTACTACATAACGCAAATAACGCAACCGATGAACTTGCTACCTTTTTAAGACAACACATACCTCAGAAAGGACGTCAAGAGATTAAAGATTCGAGGCTAATAACGCATATGAATATTAAGCAACAAATTTTATACCATGTACGACGAATAGGCATGATGAAACATTTCCCGAACTTGTTCCCTAAAGAAAATATGTTGCACAATTGCTGAAAAACGAAGTCAAAATATTGATACCTGAGCTGTGTCTTGTTCAGCGTATAGACGAAATCCAGCGAAAGTAACACGTAAAACAACGACAGAATCTGCATTTTTGAGTCAGCTTGTTACAACAGCAGCTTCAAAGAAATACCAACACCGCATTCTACTGCAACGGTCAAAACTAATAATAACTCATTAACAATAACAAGCGAGTACTCTCGATCACTTTTAAACATTCCTACGCGCAAATGAAGTCGGACAAAACAAATTCCTAAAATTCAGGGCTTTATATTTGCTGAAAACAATGAAATTCATGACACTCTTCTTAGTCGATGTTCGATTTGCAACATATATATTTCTTCTTAATTCACAATTTCAGACATCGAAAAGCAAAAAGAAATGGTAACCTTTACACATAAAAACAAACCCAATCTTATGGGTTTACTAGCATAATGCTAGTTTTCGATGCCACCGTTAAGAGAAATAACATACCCTCTTTTGATACCGAATTGAATCGGCGTAATAGCACTGTCTCCTTGCTTCTAACGGTCTAGGGGACTATTTAAGTAGACCACAGCTGCATGGTGTTTTAGCACCTGCGGTGCATAGATGCAAAACCGTATCACTTGGCAGGGTCGAACAAAGGCCTGCTCGGACACCTATCAATATGCCACTATTCGTACGCATATCCTTTTCTACACTTATACTGATGCAAGGAGTAAATGTTAGGTCAATAACACAGTTTGACATGCTGATGATAAGGATTGCCTTCATATGATTTGTTATCGCTGGTATTATTTATTTCATCATAAAAGCCCCACGCTCTCGACGTTATACTTACGGTCAATTGTTTCACCATTCTTTGAACGGGCAACAACTGTTTTCGACTAAAGGAGCAAAAGTGGAATGAGGATGAGTAGGGACGTACAGACATAATGCAGAACATGCCGAAATCTAACTTCCAGTCATTTAAGACCACGCAAAAACGACACGGCATCAAGGACTTTGTTTGACCTGGACAGTACAATTACCTGACGTTCCCAATTTAGATATTCGTTCCCAATTACCTGACACCTAAGTAAATCCGAGGTGTTTTTAAACGCTCTATCAGCTATCTGTGTGGAAGCTGGACTGCTGTTTACACCAGTTTAGTGGCTCACGCATGGCGCTCAGCTGCTGCCTCCTCCAAGCTAGTTTCCTCATACGATCAGACCGACCCTCAGAATCGACCGACAACCTTCACGGTTACCCGCTCTGAGCTTTACTTGTGACGTTAAATACTTCTGCGCATATGATTCATCCTCATGAAAACCGCTCAAATACTTCGATGTTACTATTTAGTACAACAGTGCCTGTAAATTCGTCTACAAACGTATTTATATCGTTACCACTTCGTTTCAGGACAATAATGAAGCAAAATTACCATTTTCCATAAAATTCTCAACTCAATGATAGTAGAACGTCGCTCTAAGCATTTCCGTAAGACTGTTCTGCAAAATACAGTGTCTAAATTTAACAGCGTAACGCAAATGGCCGTAAACAGATAATCTACGAAATCCACTCGGCTGAGGAACCCATACAATAGGGTAAACAAACCTATATTTTATTCTACGGAACTGACACACACCAAAGATCAACAAAACCACGCTCCGAAAGCAGATACAGTAAGCGGTATGCATTTGGCGGAAATTTCCAAACAAGCACGATAAAAATAACGTCAACATCTATCCTCATCGCGTGACAACTTTTTCGTCTCAAAACGCACTAATCGGTGAGAATGGTACGTTACCTCATACCCTTGAGCTGCATATACGATGCTAAAAAGAATTTAAGTTCTTGCGACAAGAAGTAAGCTGCGGCCCGTTTGGCAGTATCCTCCGTCAGCATGAGCGAAATTAGATAAAACAGTGAAATTCACTGCTATTAATGACAATACAGAATTGCAGATGGCGTATTTTTTGAGATAAGCTAAAAGAAGTGAATAAACGTAATCTCTGCATGTTTACAACATAAAGTTACGACTACGCGCAAGCAATCACAGATTTGGTGGCAGTCTAACTTACAGGAAACGCATGATTTGCAGGTTATACTACGTGTCTGCATCAAGTTTGCAGCTGATTACCGAAAAATAGTAATATCTCTTACAGAGTGATATACCTGACTGATAACAGCTCGAGCATAATCCAAAACATCGAAGGTTCTGTACCGTACAAATCTGTTGTAATGCTGATATAATGAAGTAAAGGGATTCCTTCAATTACGAGTTCCTGTAAAAAAAGTTCAGCTTATTTTTCAATGTAGTAGATTAACATCAGCAGGGAATGCAGAACGACAGTTGATAGGTGTTTGTATATGTTTGCTGAAAACATCACCTTGAATCCTTTGCAGCGGCATAATGTCTTTCGTTTATGACATTCTCTGTTCGTAGCTTTTCAGTGCTTCTTTCGTTCGGTTGTTCGCTGCCGCGAGCTATCAGGTAGCCCTTTTGCTTCGCTAATGATCTAGTTATGCAACGTCTGTAAGACGATGACGTGCATTCACAGATCCAACATTTAACACCAAAAAATCTTATCTCCAACGGATCAATATCAGCAAGAAGAAGATCTGTATCGCCTGTTGGAACGTTCGAATGTTAAACAGAGACGGTAAGCTGGATGACAACGTTAACAAACACCTGAGCGGTGCCAACTCGATGTCTCTGCGATCTCAGAAACTCGTATCTCCGGCCATGGATAAGACTGCCTAGTAAATGTATGGCAGTTTCACTGGTCTTGGAATCAGGGTTCTAAAAGAGAGTCATGAGTGACGGTGTTGCAGTCTCCATGAGTAGTGAAATCCTTGGTCTCCGTCGAGTATAGAATCGAGGGCTTGCTTGTTTGCCGTCTTGCAAGAAAGCACGTAAAAGTCAACGCTGTGGTGAAGTACGCCCCTACCAGTGCCGCGGAAGGTCTAACGATAGACGATTTCTATGCATGTTTACACGCAGTTTTCGGTTCTCTTCCACGCTATTAGTTATCGGTCGTCGCCAGTAGCATAAACGCGCAGGTCGGTGGGGATAATTCCAACTGGAACCATGTGGTGGGCCAACATGGTCCTGGAACGCTGAATGACAACGGTCTGCGGCTGTTAAACCTTTGTTCTACGCACTGCGTCGCCATCGTACTCCGTTTTCCCATCGTTCAACGCATCAGCTGACCTAGACAACGCCAGGTAACTGCTTCAGGTGCCAGCTGGAGTACATATTAGTAATCAGGAAATGTCGAAGCGCCGTTAATAACACCCGCGCACGACGCAGAGCTGACATTAGCCTGAACCACTGCGTGGTGGTCGCGTCCCG